TAATTCTAGAAAATAAGGAAAATGATAAAAGTTTAATTTCCCTTTTCAATCATGCTCAAATGCGAATAAATCCATTTAAACCTCGCCACCATCTCAGAAAACAGTTAAAATATGCTTCGAAAATTTAAGGGCATTACCACAATTTACTTACCTTAGTCACGCAGAACAGAAGGCCTAATCCAAGTGCTAAGACCACAGGGCAATCAAGGACCTAATCACAATATTCTCGAGTTAATATCTAGAAGGAAATTTCATTCCTTTATTTATTTTCATTTTTGCTTTTCTATGTGAAAATCAAGCATTAACCGGGATTGGGTATTTATCTATATATCTACAATTATGTAATTACCCATATACCATTTTTCTCAAATCTATGAACAAGCATTTGGGAGAACCGGCCTTGACAAAAATGGCCAATCCACGGGGTTCTCCCCTTTCCTCATGGACACACACACACAACAGCCAAAACCCCCTAATTTCCTACACAATTCATCAACTAAAACCCATTTCTCAATTCGCCAAAACTTATCCCCCACCTTCGGCATCTTGGTCCTTGACAACCCAAACACCCACACAACTAATTAAGCTCACAAGCAACAATTAATCCACCAATTTTCAAGGATTAGAGAAGCCAACTTACCAAAAATGCTCAACAAGCAAGCTGGAGCTGGCGGGATGAGGAGGTGCCGACGGGAAAAATTGCAGGGGGCTTCACGCAGACTTCTAGCAATTGAAGAAAGGAGAATTAGAGTAAACCCACACACACCAAGGTTGAAAAAGAAGGGAATTCATGGCTGATTTTACCAGGAAAACCGAACTCAGACCAAGCTATGGCCGGCGGCAGGGAAGAGAGAAGACAGCAGATCCGAAATTCCTGGGTTGAGGGAGAGAGTTTTAAGCTTTAAATTTTTTTGTTCAACAAGAAAAGGGAAGGAATTTACCAAGATCTTACCAAGTTTCCAAAAGGAGTAGGCGGTGGTGAAGGCTGGTGGTGTTCGGCTGCAGGGATAAGAAAATAGAGCAGACGCGAAAGTGGCTGGGAAGAAAGAAAGAAAGAAGAAAAAGAAAAAAAAGAAATGAGTCAGCCGGCCTTATCCAATAAGAGTTTAACCCCTTTGAAGTTTGAAAATTTGGCAATTAGGTCCATTAATAATGTTTCTTCACCATTAGGTCCCTAACTCAACTTAATATGCTTGAAAATTTTGGGGTATTACATCCACCCCTCCTAAAAAGGAGTTTAGTCCCCTAAACTCATACCTCAATCTTGGAAGAGGTGCGGATGTTCCTGCCTCATCTTGGATTCCAACTCCCAAGTAGCTTCTTTAACCGAATGGTTGTTCCAGAGGACCTTAACAAAACGAATGGTCCTTCTCCACATTATCCTCTCCTTGGAATCTAAAATGCGGATCGGGTGCTCATCATAAGTAAGATCCTCCCGGAGTTGAATTGGTTCGGGATTAATGATGTGACTCGGGTCGGGGACATACTTCCTAAGTAAGGACACATGAAACACATCATGAACAC